GGTTAAACCAAATAACATTCGCTCCATCACACTGAAAAAACGATCCATGACAGTTTGATATACAGACGCCATCTAGGAGAGCCATTGATGGCCTATAATTATACAACTACTCTTAGAGCGAGAACCTCACCTGTGGGACTCCATATATCAGAATTCATACGCCCCCAAATAGCCCCACAATCCTGTGATGGATATCCAGCACAGATAACAGCAGAGAAGGGAAAACCATATATCTGCAGGGACTTTATAGCTTTCACATTCATCCACTGTCAGTGTGCTACAACCAAGGCCAGAAGACTTTATTATGCAGACAGGAGAGATTGACGAGAAACAAGGTATGGCTGAAAGGATAGGGTTGAAATTCTGATAGCATTTCCAGCCACAATAAACACCGGAAGACCACAAAGAATGCACGTGGAGGAATTTTAAAGGATTTTTTTTAAAATTTGGAGCCACAGTTGATTGATTTAATCCCATTTTTTTTCCTGGATCAAACATTAAATAGCATAAGTACTATTGTGAGGGGAAGTAAACGGCTTTGAGAAGAGAATAAGCAGGGTTTTGTCATTAATACGGCTGAAAAAGCACATGAGCGTCACGACATAATGAAACGGGAAGTGTTTTAGAGTCGTCGCAGCATACTTATTAAGCTAGAGGACACTCTAGATTTCTAGTGTTTTATCCTGTACACACATAATGGCTATGTTCAGTCATGCGGTTACAGCTTTCATTACAGAACAGCAGGCTTCCAGGTTTTTGGAGGAGTGTTTAATTGGCAGCGCCGTGTTTGACAAGCATCCCGAAGAAATGAATTTCAGCCCACATGTTTGGACTTTCCATCCCCATTGTGTCCAGCACACAATTGGTAAACATCTCTCACATTGTCTTTGTTTGGCCGCATTGAATTGCTGTGTGCGCCAATGGGGAATTGCTGGCCAGAAAGCAGGCAACGGCTGGGCACGACTTCACAGATTCTCCAAAGATTAACTCTAGAGATAAAGTATCTACACTTCATCCTGATGAAAAGCTACCCAGGCTGTCAGCAAGTCTGTTCACTTTGCAAATCTTAATAGCTACTACAACTTAAGCAGCTTGACACATTTGAGAGGGAAATGAATTGATAAAACTCTATTTAACTTCAGGTGGCTGCTATCGTCCTGTGCTGAGATGAAGTCTGCAAGTTATAATGGCCAATACTCATTTTTCCGACTCTCCAGGATGGCAAATGTTTCTTACAGCTTTCAAAATGTTCAATCCCTCCAGCCCTTTATAGTAAAATGCCTTTAAGTAAAAAGAGCAGACAAGCAAATCAACTGCCTGAAGATGTTTTAGCCTGCAGTTTCCAGGGTTAAAAATACAGTGGCAGCTTAAAGAAACAGACCGTTCGCTCAAGAACAGATATTCTGTCATTCTTTACTCACCTTCATGACGTTCCAAACACGAATGAAAATATGTTTGGCAGGATGTTCACGCTATTCTTTCCTATACAATGACAGTGAATGGTGACCAGGGTCTGTCAAGCTCCAGAAATGACAAGATGGCGACATAAAAATTCAGAATGCATCATAAAAACAGCAGTCTATACAAATCTCATTTGTGTAAAGTGAATATGAGAACATTCAAATTTGGCATGTCACAATTAGGTTAAAGACACAGGAAAACCAAAGACATTTTGCAAACCGTTGAACATATGTGAAAGAGAATGAGATTTGAGATTAGCATCCACACCAATGAACGATTACACTAAGTTTACTATAAATGCATACTGCAGTTATGTCATCTGCCGCTTTAAATGCTCAAGTTCTTTAAAATCTCTGATTCGCTGTCAACATTTTTATAAGCTGGAAAAAAATTGTTCTGAAAGAGATTTCTACAATATCGTTCCTCTCTTTCATTATCGTTATAGCTGTGGTATGGACATACACTCTTAAAAATAAAGGTTCCAAAAGGATGCAATAGAAGAACCATTTTGGGTTTCCCAAAGAACCATTATTTTCAAAACATTTTAATCATCTGAAGAACCTTTTCCACTTGTACAATGTTAATGTTCTTCAAAGGTTCCTCATGGATGACAAAAAAATAACCTTTACTTTCAACAGTGAACCTATTCTCATAGAATTAGAATGTTTATTAAAACATATAGTTATCCTTCTTGGTGTGAACATCCCTGCGCATTGTAGTGCACGATTTGTGTGGGGATATTTTTAAGGTCCTTTTGGTGACCATTCATCACCATTCACTTTAATTGCATACAAAACGGCTTCCAAACATCTTTTTTCGCGTTCCACAGATGAAAGAAAATCATACGACTTTGGAAAGCCATGAAGGTCAGTAAATAACAGCAGGGTTTTTAGTTTTAAAAATCACTGCAGCTGTTTTGCTCAAGAGTGTGACCGTGTGTGTCTGCAGGAGTAGACCTTAAAGAATACCACGGGTGGGCCGACAGTGAAAAATCCCCAGGAACAAGGAGCTAATGAGTCCATCTGACCATACCATACAATAATGTTACTGCCTGCAACTTAAACTAGCTGACTGTGACTCCTTTGGCTATTATATAACACACACACCATACATCAGGTTGCTGATGCTAAAACATGCAAATCCTTCTTTTAACTGTACGCCTGTCTCACAGGACCCATGAGCCTATTTTTAACCAATGCACAATGGACCAGGGGCTTCACCTATTATATTCAACTGTACAAATCAAGGCACAAAGTACAGCATAATGAATTACAAATCATGTCCATCAAAGTCTGAATGCTCCAGCACAGCAGGTGAACAGTTTTATTCCTCCCATGAGATCCCACCCCCTCCTCTCTCTCTCATTCTCTCTCCCAAGTGAATATTTTATTAATAAACATCAGTCAGAAATGGATGGCAGACAAATGCACGTTGATTAATTAACAACCCCTAAAATAACTTATGCAGCACACAGCAAACAAGCCCAGGCAGTTTGATAAACTGGCACGACACTTCAGTTGTGCTGCGTGTTAAAATGACTCAGTTACACAAGACGGGCAAATAAAGAAGTGCCATTAGAACAAGCGGCTCGTGTTGGTGTTGACGCTTCAAAAGCAGGGCTTGACATATTCCTGAAAGGGCATTGTATTATGCACACTTTACACCCCCACTGAGAGAAGGTTAGAGGATGCCACGTGAGGATGATAGCAGAAATAAACAGCTGTTACTGCCGTGATCCCATCCTTAAACCGCTATAATCAGGATTGCAATAAACAGCGTGTTACCCCCTAAATGCTCGCAGCAGATTACAGTGGCTGTGAAATGCAGGCAGTGGTGAGATATAGATTTTTCAAACGAGCTTTGTGCGAGATAAAGAAAGGAAAGATGCAACACCCTTCAGCGTACTGAGCTCCACTGTCAGATCTGTGATGTGCTCTCTCTGCTGTGAATGCATGAACTTCCAGCATTCACGAGTGAAATTTTCGGGCAGGCATGCAGTCGCTCATACATGGAGGGACTGAGCTTAATCCCTTAGTTCTGTGTGAGCTGCATAATAGAAACAAATTTATTCCCTCGTGTGCAGAGGGCACGGAGAGAGGTATCATCTGACACTGGTACTATATCAATCTAAATACTTGAGAACTAAAAGGGCTTATTATTTACTAGCAATAAACTTATTTTAAGCCAATGAATCTGTCAATATTTTGGTATTGTCAGATTATCGGCATCCGATTATACGACTGTTGGTTGCAAAATTTGCCAAAGGATTTTATGCTTTCAAAATCATTTTTAGTGATTCTTAGTAAGTATTGTATGTAGCTAATGTTTTGTACATTTAAATATTTTATATATATTTATATATATATATATATATATATATATATATATATATATATATATATATATATATATATATATACAGTATATAATTAAATTATAATATTAAATAAATATTAAATATAATTATAATATTAAATAAATATATTATATATATTATATATTAAGATTAAAGGACTCTTTTCTGTATGTGCAATTATTATGGTCTAACTTCTGTTTTTTTTAATGACATTTTGGCCATGTACACACAAATTTATATATATATATATATATAAAATAAATAATCATACTCCTTAAATCTCTTTCTAGGCAGCGCTTTCTTATCCAAAGCAATTAGTTATAAGACACAGAATAGTCAAGAAGACAAATGCTAAAATGCATTACTATAATTTAATCAAATAATATTTGTTTAAACAAATAGTTTAGCCTAATCTTCAAGGTCTGAAAGCATGACGTGATTTGTTAATAGCGGCATGTGTTTTGAAATATTGAGTTCCGAGTAATATTTATGTTTGCTGTCTATATAAAACGCAATGAGACCTGCATATGGTCATATCTATAGTTTTCGACCTGCCTGAACATCACGAATGCATCGACACAGGTCTAGTAGCTCCCTACATGACGCGCGTGCAACATACCTGCGATTTATGCTGCTGTCCATCCTCGAGTTCTGAAACACTGTTCATGATTTTCCATCGATCATTTACCATTCTCTGGAATCCTTACCATCCGATAGTTGTTTTCATGGGCATGAGGAGAGAACGGAACTGTCAGTCTTGAATTCCAGCATCCAAGAAAGAGATAAGGGAGAGAACACAACAGTCTACGGGAACTAAAACTACTTCACAAGATGATCCGCACAAACCTACAGAAAACCGGGGCACAGAACTAGAGATCCACACTCATTTTGTAAAAGAAAAATATACGTACTTTAAGGGACTTGTCCCTCACCCCCAAAAAGAAACAAACAAGAAAATGCAGTCCGAAAGCAGATCCGATCTCCTCAACGCACTCCAGTACTGAGGCGAAGGTGTGACGGTTTGCGGATGATGCGTTCCGTTCGTTGGCAGGTATTCCTCCTCGGATATAAAACTTTCCCTGTTCAGTCTGTGAGAAACAAAAAAGACGTGGATTTAGATAATAAACCATTAAGTTATGCAAAATAACTGTGTGCTACGCGTCCGTTTGATTAGCTTCATTCCTGTGGTGTAAGGACACGTTTGTGGTGGAGAGCTCCTGAAATCCACCCCCCTCCCTATCTCGCGCTTACACAGCGATGTCCGATCCGTGAGCGTATCGTTCTTTTGTGTCGGATCTTTTAAATGATTCATTCGAACCGGTTCACTAAACTGGTCTGAACTACAGGTGCATCTCAATAAATTAGAATGTCGTGGAAAAGTTCATTTATTTCAGTAATTCAACTCAAATTGTGAAACTCGTGTATTAAATAAATTCAATGCACACGGCTTAACAAGAGGAATACGACAACTGTAGCCAAATTCCTTGACACGTCTGTGTGTGGTGGCTCTTGATGCCTTGACCCCAGCCTCAGTCCATTCCTTGTGAAGTTCACTGAAATTCTTGAATCGATTTTGCTTGACAATCCTCATAAGGCTACGGTACTCTCGGTTGGTTGTGTATCTTTTTCTTCCACACTTTTTCCTTCCACTCAACTTTCTGTTAACATGCTTGGATACAGCACTCTGTGAACAGTCAGCTTCTTTGGCAATGAATGTTTGTGGCTTACCCTCCTTGTGAAGGGTGTCAATGATTGTCTTCTGGACAACTGTCAGATCAGCAATCTTCCCCATGATTGTGTAGCCTAGTGAACCAAACTGAGAGACCATTTTGAAGGCTCAGGAAAGATTTTGGGTTTTTGTTAAATGTGAGCCAAAATCATCACAATTAAAAGATCCAAAGACTTAAACTACTTCAGTCTGTGTGCATTGAATTTATTTAATACACAAGTTTCACAATTTGAATTGAATTACTGAAATAAATGAACTTTTCCACGACATTCTAATTTATTGAGATGCACCTGTATTTGCTCACCGGACTAAACTGAATGATTCGGTCACGAGTGAACAACTCTCTGACTCATTCAACCGGAAAGCGAACATGTCCGAATCACAATGAGCCGAGAACTGAAGAGTGAGCTTGCAGTAAAGAGCATTTGGAGCCCATCGAGGATTTTTCTGATGGAACGAATAGCAGAAATGTAAAACGTAGGCCTACTTCGTATTCTAATAGGCTTATGTTTGTGAATGCCCATTTGATCAACAAAAAACAAATTATATAGGCTATAACATAAATACAAATGAATGAATGAATGAATGAATGAATACTATTAAAATGTGCAATAAATAAACAAATAGTCACTCAATCACTTAATATAGTCAGGAACTGCACCGTACATTAGTTTTAGTGAGTAGTTTTAGTATTTACAAGCTTATACAACCTTAATTTAGACGCGTATAATAAACACAATTAAATAAACACAATTATTAATAATATTTGGTATTTGGAAAAACATTGAAATTTAAAGGGATAGTTCACCCCAAATTGAAAACTCTGACATTAATTACTCACTCTCATGCCGTTCCAAACCGGTAAGACCTTTGTTCATCTTCGGAACACAAATTAAGATATTTTGATGAAATCCAGCTTTCTGACCCTGCATAGACAACAATGCAACTACCACGTTCAAGGCCCAAGGACATCGTTAAAATAGTCCATGTGACATCAGTGGCTCATCATTAATTATATAAAGCTACGAGAATACTTTTTGTGTGCAAAGAAAACAAAAATAACGACTTTATTCAACATCAATATTCCACATCACTCAACTCGATATTTCTTCTCTTCCATGTCAGTCTTCGACGCGTGTTGATGACAGTACCACAACACATGCGTGTGCATTCCTCTGCTTATAAACAAGCGCAGTGCATCTATGTTCTATGTCAGAATGCCGGCTCCTACGTCAGCAGCACCACACGCATGTGTCATGGTACTGTCGTGAACGCCAATTTAACAGAAACTGTAACTTTGTCAGATAGCCTAGCATAAAGCAAAGTGCACGTGAAATTATACAGGTTTGATCATACTTAAACACTGGGTGGTCATATTTCACCAGAAAGAGCTCGTTTTGTGTAAAGTTGTTGAGACCCACGAGAAGAAATCCAGACGCACGACCTCGATGCGAATCCAGCTAAAGACTATGGAAAGCATGTTGTGGTCAAACTTAAAACATGATTGCGAATTCTGTTTACATTTACTTAATTGTGCATGCACAACATGTCACACCATTAAACATTATTTCAATATAATACATATTTGTGCTTGCATTTTTCTTAAAGCTAAGAGAAGACTTCTAGAATACTGGCTGATTAATGTGTACCCTTCTTGAACAGATTGAATTCTTGCACATGTCTGACCCATGTATTTTACAGACACCATTTCATGGCACTGAGATTTACAGATATAGAGTACAGATATGCTTGTATCATTAAAAAAAAATGAGGGTGATTTTGAGGTCATTGTGTTCTGTTGTGTTAATCAAAAGCAGCATATCTGTTTGAAAAAGAGTTTGTTTAAAGTCAGCATTGCATCGATCAACACGGACACATGCAACTGCACATGCACACTGTTTTTACACAGTTCTCACATTATTTAAACAATATTTTTCCCTGCAAAAGAAAATCTGTCTGGGCCACGTTATCAACATCTATTCAAATCAATCAAAGCAAAATATAACTGAATTTATAACATCCATTTTAGGGCCTCGCTGAAAATGTTTGTATGAAACAAAACTGAACTGCAAATTGTACCACTGTATTACCACAATATATGAATATACTATCATGTACCACAGTGCTTTTAATGGGTATAAAGAATGGTGTGAGTCAGTATGACGGTGTTACCAGTACCAAGTTAACAGACAAGCCACCAAAATGCAACTTGTTTGGATGTCATGTCCTTAACAGGCAGGTCTGCTTGAGAAATCCATTTCAGGTTGTTTAAAAAATGAGAGCAACTATTCTGTCAGGTGGTAAACAAGCTGCCATTTGTACTGTGAAAACTATGCCAGGAGGTGTTCAGAACACTGCAGAAAACTCTGTTTGTCCTTCCTTTGCACTGCAGCTACCCATGAGCTTTCAAAAAATGTTTTCAGCTTTTCATGCTATTGAATTTTCAGTCCAACAAAACTGCAAACAGCTAAAACATGCCATAAACTGTCCTTTAATATTTTCATAGTAACATGGTCCAGAAATGCTTTTGTTGCCTGTATTATAATCATCCACCCTCAGGAGCTACACTAATAATAATTCTGAAATTTTTAGCATGTGCTATATATAATAGCTTTAGAGCTTCAAATGTCGAAAACATAGCATACCGAACATCCATTCAGCCTTTTTCCAGTTATGTGTGCAATGCAGGCACAAGGAACAGTAAGCAGCTCATTCTGGCTTCTTCATATGTGTGCTTGTCAAACCGGCGAGTTAGCACAGCTGGAAACACAAGCAACTAAGAGTTTCCCTTTGTCAAAAAAGAAGCCTTCTGCGAGTAAAAAGTCTCTGAATAAGATGCTCAAAAAAGTGAAGGCACCAACAGCAGCTTGGTAATATATTCTACAACAAGATGCATCTCCCTGATAACTTGAAAAAGGCTGAAAAACTGTTTTTGTTGTTCTTAGGCTCACCAAAATATGGCTCTGTTTATCAAGGTGAGTGGTTGCACAAAATGTATATATCTTAATTTTATACATACACTGATCAACCAAAACATTAAAACCACCTGCCTAACACCCTAGTCATGTTCCTCAACCCATTCCTGAACAATTTTTGCAGTGTGCATAATCCTGCTGAAAGAAGCCACTGTCATCAGGGAACACCATTGCTATGAAGGGCTGATTGTGGTCTGCAACAATCTGTACAGTAGGCAGGTGATAGATGACAAAGTAAAATCTACATGAAAGCCTGGAGCCAAGGTTTCCCAGCAGAACATTGCATGTTGTAGTCTGTATGCAAAACTTTTCAAAAACACAAAGGAAAAACTTCTGTTTCTGTTTTTACTACATCACTGTTGTGTAAATGTACCCTTAGACCTTGTCACTCAGAACTTTTGACTTGCCCATTTTTCTTGCTTCTAAAAAAATGAAATTTAAAAACTGACTGTTCACTTGCATTGTATATCCCAGGTGCTTTTGTAACAATAAAATCAGTGTTATTCACCTCACCTGTCAGTGGTTTTAATGTTGTGGCTGATCAGTTTATGATCCTCCAAGACACATTCGAGATGGATTTTCCTGATTTGAAAAGCAATCTTGACAAACAGTTACAGCGATTGTAGTTTTCTCCATTGAAGTAGACAAGAGCTGTACTTGTACGACTGGAAATAGCTGTCACTTGTCACTCAGAACTTTTGACTTGCCCATTTTTCTTGCTTCTAAAAAAATGAAATTTAAAAACTGACTGTTCACTTGCATTGTATATCCCAGGTGCTTTTGTAACAATAAAATCAGTGTTATTCACCTCACCTGTCAGTGGTTTTAATGTTGTGGCTGATCAGTTTATGATCCTCCAAGACGAGATGGATTTTCCTGATTTGAAAAGCAATCTTGACAAACAGTTACAGCGATTGTAGTTTTCTCCATTGAAGTAGACAAGAGCTGTACTTGTACGACTGGAAATAGCTGTCGGGGGTGTTACAAATATAGTTGCAGAGTGGACAGATTTGTCTTAAAGGGTCTAAACTGAACTATAAACACAGATAACCCCTATTAATTACCAACATAAACTATTTAGAGTCCTCATAAGCCTCCATTCCTTGCATGGGCCTATAAAAAATAGATATTCAGATGCAAAGGCAGGACCTCAGCTGGAACAGCTCCATTTTTCCCTGATTGGCTTTAATTAATTGACAGTTTTATTCAAAACGCAGAGAATACATATGAAAACTGCTTGTTATTATTTAGTAAAATGAAAAACATGATTAAAATGAATCAAAAGAGCAAACTTACTTCAGGCCAAATTCATTTTTTCAGCACTGAAGGCAGACGGAAAATGAGCTCCTACTCCAGAAATAACCAAATTGGTCTTAATTTATCAAAAGTCCTCAAGGGGGTTGGGTAAAAATCAGAGCTGGCAAAGGAATAAAGGGGAAACTTAAGAAACTAGCTCAAAACCCCACAATCAGTCAAGCAGTCAGTCCATAGACCAACCACTTTGTCGATAAGT